AAACTGAGTACAGTAAAATAAAATATAGAAATAAACAAGTTCAAAGGGTTTCGAAGGATTAACAGTATTCAAAGACAAGGCATTGTTTGCATGATCTTCATTAATGTAATGCATACAGTTTTTTTGGGCTGTGGCACAGGTTCAAACCCCACTGCAGTCAGCATGTCGTTGTGTCCCCGGGCAAGACACTTCACCCCAAATTGCTCCTGTGGGGATTGCCCACAGTATTGAGTGTGTAAGTCGCTTTGGATAAAAGCGTCTAACAAGTAACATGTAATGTAATGTAATGATAATAGTCACATTCCTGTTAATAATGAAATAACAAAACTCACTCAATAACTATTTGTATGTATATTTGTGCATGGGTTCAGCTTCCTGATAGTGTGTTGGTGTATTCTCCCCATGTGAAGCTGAAAACAACACACACACACACATCATGATATACAACATATTCCTTTATTGTTGTTACTGATAAATCCCATTTTGAAAAAAAAGAACAACAATGAAAAAGGAGAACAACACCCGTTTGTACTTTATGTACAGCCAGCATCTAAAAGCTCTCTTTAATAGAACCACTGTACACGTTAAAGGACAACAATCATTTACAGGCCAACTGAACCGTCTTCATTCAGTTTGTGGGTTCAGATCTGCATTTGGCCACTGAAGACGACAAAATATAAATCTTAAAGAGTTCAGCTGCCTACGTCACTACTGGCTAGTTTAGTGTGAGAGACGATATCAACTCTAATGCTTTTATAAAACGAAATGTAAAATGCTAAATGAAGTTAAATCATTGGCAAACACTGATACTATTGCTCGGAAAGTGGAAAAGGTACACAAATGTGAATGGAGTCTGGTGTTAGTCAGGTTTGATTCTAGTCCAGTTGTTTTTAGATGAATACGGCAGGAAAATAAACCAAAATATGAAGCTTTATTTTATTTAAAGGTGGGGTAGGTAAGTTTGAGAAACCGGCTCGAGATACACTTTTTGTTATATTCCATGGAATGCTCTTAACATCCCGATAGCAATGAATATCTTAAGTGCTTTGACAAAAAATCCATAAAAACATGTCATCTGTGGAAGCCGTAGTACTGTAAAAAGCACGACCAATCATTTGAGCCCTGCTAAAATAACTGGATGGTCTACCTGCCTGTCAGCCCTCCATCTGTGCACAAACTTATCTCGTGCCCTCATTGGTCATGTGCGCGTTCGTGTGTGTTGGAGGAGGGGCTCTGTAAGGAAGTGGCAGATTTTCTCCGGCTGTGTATTTTCTAATTCTAGCGCACTCGAGCTGGTTTCTCCAAAATTACCTACCCCACCTTTAAGCTTTCATTTAGGGTGCAATTAACTGCCACCTGTAGACAGCGGTGATGTAACTGTCATGTTTCTGCAACACCGTGATAAATAACCTCAACAAGCAACCAGACTCCATTAAAAAAAATCTGTTTCTGCTCTTTCAAGCTTCCCTTAAAAGTCTCAATTCACAATTGTACAACCTTTTTCTTTTGGCTTGTGACACTCTAAAGATGCTCAGTGTATGAAACCCTCATCCCAGGCTGAGTTATGCTCTTCAATTGAAATCCATTGGTATAGTTTCTCATAGGAGGGCGGTGGTGGCGAAGTCCATAGGGACTTGGCTTGGCAACTGGAAGGTCACCAGTTCAAGTCCCGGAAAGACCAAGTGCTACTGAGGTGTCCCTGAGCAAGGCACCGTTCCCTACACTGCTCCCCGGGCGCCGTACATAATGGCAGCCCACTGCTCCTAACACTAGGGTGGGTCAAATGCAGAGAAACCGTTTCGTTACATAGTACCTGTACTACGTAATGACAATATGTTCAATAAGACTCATAACCAGATTTTCACAATAAAAAAACAAATGTATTTATTTCTCCTCTCTTTGTAATCACCTCAGGTTGGGAATCACTGCTGTGGATGTTTTTCAGTTTTTGTGGTATTAACTCATGTGATGTGTGTGAGATCAAAGTAGAATGGCTTTCAACTAAGAAAATCTGGATTTAGTTCCTGGTTCAGAGATGTTGGATCTACAAATTGTTTGCTTGGCTATTGGCATACAGTAAGCCATTATATTTGTCCCTGTTAAGTTTAAAGGGGCCCTATTCTGCTCATCTTCAGGTTCATATCAGTATGTAGTGTCTCTACTTTAAAGAGTCCTCTCCTGCTGATGTTCAGGTGTATATCAGTATGTAGTGTCTCTACTTTAAAGAGTCCTCTCCTGCTGATGTTCAGGTGTATATCAGTTAGTGTCTCTACTTTAAAGAGTCCTCTCCTGCTGATGTTCAGGTGTATATCAGTATGTAGTGTCTCTACTTTAAAGAGTCCTCTCCTGCTGATGTTCAGGTGTATATCAGTATGTAGTGTCTCTACTTTAAAGAGTCCTCTCCTGCTGATGTTCAGGTGTATATCAGTATGTAGTGTCTCTACTGGGACATGTCTCCATGCTTTAATTTTTCTCATACTGCCTGTTCTGCAGCACCTCTGTTCACCCTCTGTCTGAAACCAGAGCCAAGTCTGCTCTGATTGGTTAGCTGGCCGGCTCTGTTGTGATTAGTCAACCGCTTAGAGATGTCCCGCCCCTTAGCCTATCATGTACGATGTGTTGGAGTGCTAGCCAATAGAAACACGTTACAGTGTGATAGTGATGTCCCTATGGTGTTTCAATCCCAATTCTTTGGGAATGTAGTCTCTGCAGACCATTAACATGCACACAAAACGATATAACACACAACAGGAGAGGGAAAACCCCAAAGAGCATAACAGGGCCTCTTTAAATTATCTTATTTTTTGGAATAGAAATATCTAATCTCGGTGTGTCTGATGAACCTGAACGGATGAGTTGTTTTCTTCAGGATTTAAAGTGAACTTTTTGAGTAAAGAGCTTTTAAAATGTTCCAGAATTAAAAATAAAACAAACTCTCGGGTCACATTTTCGGCCTTTTAAAAGGAACAGCACACTCTAAAATATCCTGTCACTGAACTCAGATTCAGATGAGGAGGTGAACAATGCATCATTTCACAGGAAATCTGAATTTAAACTGCAGCCATTGACTCTCTAAATGTGTACGTGTCACATACATCATATTTGATCTTTCAGCTCACTTTAAAGTCCATAAATGATTCACTGAATTTCCCTTAAATTACACCACGTTTATAAATAGATCTGCTTTAAAACTGTACACATATCATCTGCTAACCCTTTTTACACATTTGTAATTTTAAAAGAAAAGCAACACAAATTCAACCCAAAACTTTTCCCCCGTCTCACAAACAGCTGCAATATTTTGAGATGATAATTTGGTAAAAAGCAACAAACAAAGTGTTATGTAGTGCTGAGAGGTAAAGTCAAGTAAATAAATACTTCTTACAACACCAGCAGAAACCCCAAAGGAATACACTTCAAGTAAAACAGAGAATAAAAAAAATATCTACTTGTATTTCTTACAATTCTGTCACCAAACACAAAAAGATGTTTAAAAAACTAGTCGTTGCTCAAAATAACAATAATGATAATTACACAAAATACAATATTTTCAGGCAGTCAGCATATAAAGCGTTTTACAAATCTGGAGGGGAGTGTGTGTGTGTGTGTGTGTCTGTGGTTTGGGAAGTAAAACAGCTGTTACTTTAAATGTTATTTCACAACAAAAGGAGCTAATTAGCATTAGCAACAACAACTGTCGGGTTTAGTAGGAAGCAACTCGTCGTCCCTCGTTGAGTCTTTTGGCTTTAATTTGGCGGTTTTTTTAAGTAAGGAATTCATAAATACACAGAAAAATAATATATATGAAGCTTTAGTTTGTCAGACTTTAAATACACAATGAAAAGCAGCACAACGTGGATCAAAACCACTGAATCAGAAAGGATTCGATCCAAAATATTTCACAGGAAAGCGATTTTCGGCAAGGAAATCAAACCCAACATATTTCAGATTCTTTTGTTCACTTTGGAGAGAAGTGTTCTGTTTGATCTACAACTATTAAAGAGTCACATGACGGCAGATGTGTTTACAGGTGCAGTATTTTACAGTAATCGTTAACATCATGTCACTGCTGCTGTCCAAACACTCTGAAGGGGTTCAATTCAAATGACCAAGAGGCTGTTACATCTGTCTGTAGTGTTCCTCTTTCTGTCAGTATGGGGTTAAATAAAGATATTAAGCTTGTAGTGTGTTCATGCGTGTTTGATGCTCTGATGGAAATGTGTCAATTAACCAAAAGTGCAGCAGGAGCAGAGTGTAGACAAAATCAATCAACGAGCCAATTCCTGATTTTCTGCTGGTTCATGCAACTCTTCCCCATCTCCATCAACATCAACAGAGTCTTATGGCGCATTTCCACTGCAGGGCCTCGCTCGGCTTAGTACGATATGGCTAGGCCTCGTTAGGCCTTGTTAGGACTGGCTCACTTTATGCTGCGTTTCCATTACAGTTTAGGAACTGGGGTAGTATCTATAGTAACGCAGTGTAGGCGGAGCCGTGACGTCATCTTCAATGCGAAACACAAAACCAACAGCAGCCGTTAGCTGTTAGCACTCAAGCTCACAGCTCCTCATATCTGTTCAGAAACTAGACAAAAGTTAAACAAGTACAAACCACAGACTGCCTGTGTCATGGTGAATACAGTCGCTGCTTTATTTATGTCTGTATAGGCCGTTGTTGTGAGTGTGGACGGTCGGAGCATATACAACGTTAGCTTAGCCGATTTCCATTTAGAACACACGCATTTTAAAAGGTTTTTCGCCTGCCGTCTGTCTGCAGACTTGTCAAAGCATTAATTCATGGTTTTTACTAACCGGTATCAGTATGTTGTTACTTCGGCATCATTTTGAAACGTGTATTACAATTAAATCACGGTCAAATATGTTCATTTTGTTGTAGTTGCCAGCGATTCTCTCACTAGTGTAGCATACTCAGCCCGGTTGTTGGCCCGGAAAGAACCTCGATTTTGGAGAGCCAGAAAAACTGTGAAAAAGTACCCGCTAGCCGGAACTACGTCTAGTGGAAACGCAACCAAAAACGGACCGGGCACGGCACGCTTAAACCGCGCTGTAGTGGAAATGCGCCATAACTTCCTCTGTAGTCTAATAATGGGATCACTAATGTGTTGAAAACCCTCACATTTTGAAATGAAACCCACCAGATGTTTGTCATGTGACCTGCCTTCAGAGTGTCCACCCAGCACTACCATCTCCAAACAGAACAGGGGTCATGACTTTTGACCTCTTACCTCCTAGTGTAAGCGTTAACTGGATGAAACCTGTATGGGTCTGACTAAAAGTCTTCTTCAGGCTGCAAGCAACAACTTAAAACAGGAGAAAGCAGACCAAATTCGATTGAAAGCAAAAGTCCACGAGTTCTATGCAGAGTGGGAGGTCATCGAGAGGCGTTTTTATCATAAACGAAAGAATTTAGTGTTCAAAAGAAGCATTCAGATCTGACTGAATATTCGAAAAAGTGGGTTGTTACTTTTGTCTATTTTTGAGAGATAAAAGTGGATCTTCTGATGCACGAAATACATTTTCCTCAACACCTTAAATGATTCATATTGTGAAGTAAAAAGGCACATTATCATATTTCTAAGCAACACCAACAGACACAGGCTGTTCTGGGGTCAGTGACGGTGGAGAGAAAAGAAAAGAGATTCCAGCTTTACTGAAAACTTCTGAGAGTTCCTGTTTTTATTATTTCTTTTGCCACTTCCTGTTTTCATTCATCGTCTCCTCCAGAGGTTTGTTTGTTTTCGGGACCCGGGCCAGCCTAAGTCCCAACAGGGGAAGAGGGGAGGGGGGAATATTTGACAAATCTTAGAAGGAGCAGTCCAGGTAAACTGTCTCCTTCAGCTTTCAGAGGTGGAGACGTTCTCCTCTCTCATTTCCTCCGTGTCTCCTCTCTCTCATTTCCTCCGTGTCTCCTCTCTCTCATTTCCTCCGTGTCTCCTCTTTCTCATTTCCTCCGTGTCTCCTCTTTCTCATTTCCTCCGTGTCTCCTCTTTCTCATTTCCTCCGTGTCTCCGGTCATACGAAGACTTTAGCGAGCGCGTCGGCTCCGGCGCTGCCGATGTAACATTTTGTCGGGTGAAACGCCACGTCGTGGATCGACTCCTCCGACTTCTTTCTGTGCGCCGTGAACTCCTGGATACACGTCTTACTCTCCATGTTCCACAGGCGGATGGAGCAGTCGTGACCTGGGAGGAAGAGGAAGAGGAAGAGGAAGAGGAAAAGGAAGGAGACAATGAGGATGTATTTCTCGAGACCCCACTGTTTATTTATTTAAACAATGCCTTGCGAACCTGCTGCTGCTGTAACAACATCATTTCCCAATTTGGGATCAATAAAGTGAATCAGTCGTTCAAGGTGTTCAGTCCAGGTAGAGTAATCTCACAAAATGCCTATTTATTTCGATAGTACTTTATACTCTGACTAAATGTTGCTGTTTTTTTTTTTTTACTGTAAGTCGTATTTTGCAAGGTGCATCTCTTTTGGGTTTAGGCTGGAGCCACACGAGAACGGTAACGGTCGTATCCGCTACAGTTCTCTATCATATAGACGCTTCGGCCACACGAGGCCGACAGGGAAACGCAGATAACGATAACGAAAACGGGTCCCAAGGTGAGTAGATCTGCGGATGCAACGCTCTGGGGGGCCAAACGGCTCCGTGTCTACGCCCTATACGATCATTTTCTGATAACGATGACGCAATAGCCCCGCCTCTCACGCTCACCCCCGTGTCACCCGCGTCATTGCTGATGTGTTTCGCCAACAACAACAACAGTTTTCCGAGTGTCTCGAGCCAGGTCCCGGTATCTCGCAGGACAGTGCACCCAGCAGGTGCCTCCAGCAGGTGCCTCCAGCAGACCCCCCCCCCCCCGCACGGCAGAGTTTCCGTTAGCCGAAATCTAAAATTCTCCGGTCAAAATGTCGCTTATTGTTTAGGTGTCCTTTGACACGCAGGCAGTCATATCATTAGCTAGAACTAGCTAGATCTGATCGATATGGACATAAACGCGAGTGAAGTCTAATCGGACAGGAGAGAGAGATCAGAGATCAGCTGCTGCTGACGGAGAAAAAGAGCCCTGCCTCTCCCCACCTCTGCTGCTAAATCCACGGCGGAGAATAAACAGAAGGGCAACCATGGAAACCATGCTCGGAAGTCTTCTTCGCTGCTTTTGGTGTATTTTGTGGCGGAAGTACAGCACCACTTACAGGCCCGGCATATGTACTACAGCGTCTCCAGCGGGTGCCTATTGCGTGTGGACGGAAGACCTTTTTGATAACGATTTCGGTTCGTTTGCGTTACCGTCCTCGTGTGGCTCCAGTCTTAGTTTATGCTTCAATTGAAATGTTAAACACAGCAATGAATCTCTCATGATATTAAATAGAGGATAAAGAGTGAAGGCTTCCTAAATCTGAACAGTCTTTAGATGTTTCTGTGCTAAGAAATGTAACTGTGTACAATGGATCCGATATAAAGACATGTTTTTTTAGATTGTTTTGAAACAGACAGACTATTCCCAACAATGACTGCTTTGCCATCCTTGAATGTTTACATTTTTCACAATGAACAACAGAAATGATGGCTGAATACGTACTTCCTGACATGAGGTACAGTCCGTTTGGATCCACAGCGAGACACGTGACGGAGTCCAGGTGAGCCACCATCGAGTGGATCAGTTTACCTTCAGACCGGAAAAAGAAGAAGAAAAGATTACTCCTTTATCCAATTTAATCAGTCTGATAATGACAGAAAGAGATTCAATATAACTGAATTACTATTTTTTAAGTGCCTTTTAATGGGTCAAGCTAAAAAAATGTCTATAACTCAGTAGCATCTTTGGAGCATCCCTGCTTGATAGACAATTACTTCTCTAAAAACACTCAGGTTTTGTGTCAAACTGAGATAACCCTGAAGTGTAATAGTGATGTCTTCTCTCTCAACAGACACATTGTAAGGCGTCTATTTGCCCCTTTTGAACTATCTGATTGGGAAAAATCATGATGAATTTAACAGAATTGGACATGTAAAGTTAGCGTTGTGTTCCTTATTTAATAAACCGTTTTAATTTTGAGTTAATGTACAACATTAAATGTTACATTCTGTTCTTGTATGTATCATATTTGTATGTGTATATAGACTTCTAGCTCAATTTTTTATTTGTATTTTATGATATATGTTGCATCGTTGGAGGAGTTTGAGTCATAAGAATTTCATTGCCATTTCTACACTGAATGTGCATATGACATTAAAGGTCCCCTATTATACTGTTTTTCATCAATATATTACAGGTCTCAGATATATACAAAACATGTCTCTGAAGTGTTTGGCTCCAAACACCAAACAGATCATTGTAGCATCCCATAATCCCCTCTGTTTCAGCCCTGTTTCAAAAGTGCTGATTCTCTGTCTGTTACTTTAGATGAAAATAAGGAGCCCCTCCCCACGCCCCTCTGAGAGACATTTGGTTACAAAGAACACAATGGTGCTCTAGGAGGAGATTCAGGTGATACCTTGGTTGCTGATTGGCTAATGGTTACACAAGCCAAAACATCGTTATGACATCACAAAGTGGCCAAAATCTGATCAGCTCATTTTCAGACAGGTTTTTATATAAATGGATCAGGACAAAAAGAGAGAGAATCTTTGTTCCTGAAACTTTCAGAGTCTCTTTCCACAGAGGGGACACATGTTGATGTAGAAGAGACATGAAGAAGAGGGGACACATGTTGATGTAGAAGAGACATGAAGAAGAGGGGACACATGTTGATGTGGAAGAGACATGAAGAAGAGGGGACACATGTTGATGTAGAAGAGACATGAAGAAGAGGGGACACATGTTGATGTAGAAGAGACATGAAGAAGAGGGGACACATGTTGATGTGGAAGAGACATGAAGAAGAGGGGACACATGTTGATGTAGAAGAGACATGAAGAAGAGGGGACACATGTTGATGTAGAAGAGACATGAAGAAGAGGGGACACATGTTGATGTAGAAGAGACATGAAGAAGAGGGGACACATGTTGATGTAGAAGAGACATGAAGAAGAGGGGACACATGTTGATGTAGAAGAGACATGAAGAAGAGGGGACACATGTTGATGTAGAAGAGACATGAAGAAGAGGGGACACATGTTGATGTAGAAGAGACATGAAGAAGAGGGGACACATGTTGATGTAGAAGAGACATGAAGAAGAGGGGACACATGTTGATGTAGAAGAGACATGAAGAAGAGGGGACACATGTTGATGTAGAAGAGACATGAAAAAGTGCATTTTGCATAATAGGTGACCTTTAAAACCTTTGAATCTTGAATGTAATGAAAGCTCTCCTCTGTCACCTGTATTGTTATCGAAGAACTGGATGTGCCGGTCCTCCTGAGCTGTGATGGTGATTGGCAGCGTGGGATGACTCAGCACTTTGTTGATCTTGCAGGGAGCCTCTGTGTGTGGGCGGACGTGAGAAGGACAGCATTAACATTTAAAACCCACAATCTTCAGTCCATCGGGGACTGAAAGCACTCTGAGAGAGACGGTGTTATCTCAAGGCTGCTGCAGGAAACACAGAGACTCAAAGCATCGAGGTAACACGCAGCAGGAGAGGGATTTTCACGGCAGAACAACGTAATATTACATTACATTACATGTCACTTGTTAGACGCTTTTATCCAAAGCGACTTACATACTCAATACTGTGGACAATCACCACAGGAGCAATTTGGGGTGAAGTGTCTTCAGGGACACAACGACATGCTGACTGCAGTGGGGTTTGAACCTGTGACCATCTGATCCCCACAGCACTGCGCCACACGCCTTATATATGTTGTTGAGCTGGTGTTTGTGGAACTATGTGGTTTTGTTTACAACCAAGAGACGTAGTAATGACATTACATTACATTTAGCTGACGCTTTTATCCAAAGCGACTTACAATTACCAATTACAGGGACATTAAGGGCTAAGTGCTAAGTGCCTTACTCAAGGGCACACTAGTGGTGGTGTTCCTGGCGGGATTTGAACTCACAACCTTCCGATCTTTAGCCCACCTCACTATCCATTAGACCATCACTATCCCATTAGGTATTACAGTTTCCCGAAATGAGTGTGGAGGTCACCCTGTGCATGGTCGTTTATTTGTTTTCTTTCTGTTCTGATTTTATGTAAAGCGTCTTTGAGCATTAGGAAAAGCGCTATAAAAATCCCATGTAGTGTTATTATTATTATTGTTATGATGTTACCTGGAGGTCCGGCAGAGTCCAGCTGCAGGACCAGCTGCTGCGTCTCCATGTTGAAGAGTCCGATGTGTCCGGTGCTGAAGGACGTCACCATGTGAGCCGAGTCGCTGCTCACCAGATCCACCGAGGTGGGCACTCCCAGCTCTGACACACACACACACACACACACACACACACACACACACACACACACACACACACACACACACACACACACACACACACACACACACACACACACACACACACACACACACACACACACACACACACACACACACACACACACACACACACACACACACACACACACACACACACACACACACACACACACACACACACACACACACACACACACACACACACACACACACACACACACACACACACACACACACACACACACACACACACACACACACACACACACACACACACACACACACACACACACACACACACACACACACACACACACACACACTATAGTTATTTATATATTTGTTTTATTTTTATTATTCAGAGTCTGTTGATGGGTCTTGTTTTATTTGAAAAAGCCAACCTTTAATGAAATATACATCAGCATGCTTCTAGGAAGTCATACTTTACAGTCTATAGTCTCCCTACTGTTTTAAACTATTGACTTGTATTCAATTCAATAAAGGGTCTTGAAGATGTTGTCTTGTTTTATCACATCGTATCGTACCTCCTCTCTCGTTGTAGACAGCGAGAGGCGGCGAGATGCTGGCGGCGTTCCACAGCCGGACCGTACCATCAGCCGAGCAGGAGAGGAGGCGCTGGTGGGCCGAGCTGTAGACCAGACCCCAAACTGAGTCTGAGTGACCGAGCAGCGCTCCCCGCAGGACAGACGGCTCTGCAGGACACATCAGAAAACACACACAATCAGAACCAGAAACAGGTTTATTACCAGGTAGGTTGACACGTACGAGGAATTTTACTTGATGTCGTGGTGCATACATACAAGTAAAACAGGGATCAAACATTACAAAATAACATCTTCTGCATCTGCTGTCATGCAGGCAGAGGTGGGGAGTAGTGGAGTACAAATACTTTGTTACTGTACTTAAGTACATTATTCTGGTATCAGTACTTTACTCCACTACTTCTTTTTCTGACGACTTGTTACTTTCTACTTCTTACATTTTGAACACAAATACCTGTACTTTCTACTTCTTACATTTTGAACCCAAATACCTGAACTTTCTACTTCTTCCATTTTGAACCCAAATACCTGTACTTTCTACTTCTTACATTTTGAACACAAATACCTGTACTTTCTACTTCTTACATGTTGAACACAAATACCTGTACTTTCTACTTCTTACATTTTGAACACAAATACCTGTACTTTCTACTTCTTACATTTTGAACCCAAATACCTGTACTTTCTACTTCTTACATGTTTAACACAAATACCTGTACTTTCTACTTCTTACATTTCCCAAACAGGCTGGTTCCTTTAGTTTGAATGTGTGTTTGGTGGCCTGATCATTATTATTTAGAGTCATTGCGTGCCTATTGATTTGAACACGATCCGTGTATCCATCATTTCCTGGTCTTCTCTAAAGAAGAGGGACCAATGAAAACGTTGTCATGTTGCCGTTGTTCAGCATGGAAACATTCATTAGCTAACAATGACATTATTGTTCTATTAATATAAAGGGAGGTCAGGTACTCTTTAAAACAGCTGCTAGTTATGGGTACTTTTTACTGAAGTACATTTCAAAGCCCTCTTTACTTTTACTTGAGTAAAGAAGTTTAGTCAGTACTTCTACTTTCACCAGAGTATTTTTAAACACGACTATCTGTACTTCTACTTGAGTAAAGGATGTGTGTACTTTTGCCATCTCTGCATGGAGGTAAATTACTGCTGGAGCGTACCATATGAGTCGTAGGGGTCGATGTTGGGGCTGGGGGTGTTCCAGCTCTGGATGGTACCGTCCACCCCCCCACTGAAGCACTGCTCTCCACTGGAGCTCATCGTGACGCACAACACCGCACCGCTGCACAGGGAGACGTTTTTATATTTGAATGAGATAGTTAATTTCTGTGGAGCATCATGAAATCAAATATCCAATAGAATAGATAGAATTGGAGGAGGAAACCCTCTTTAATTGTCACACATACATACATGCACACACAGCACACATTTGACCCCTGCATTTAACCCATTCTAGTAATAGGAGCCAGCTATTGCACAGCGCACAAACATGTCGTTATGAATAATATTAATGTAATTTTATTTAAAAGAATGAGATAAGTTGATGTACAAAATGAATATAAGAATGTCTCCAATGGTCCTTTACTTGAGTAAAAGCAGACATACCATAATCATAATTAAAAGTCCAAGATCAAAATTCAAAATGTATCTTCATTTTCTTTAAACTTCTGAATATTTTATATAAACAGTCTTGTGCTGATCTCAACAAGCCTGTTAATTAAGCTTTTTTTCAACAGGAAATATCAGTTTAGTGCAAAAACAAAAAGTGAAAAGGGATCTCACCTGTGAGCTCTGAATGTGTAGATAGGCTCCACGTCTAAAGCAGTACATCTGGAGGAAAAACAACCAGAACAGAGGTTATATTAACAGAAAACAAGACACATCTCACTGAAATATTTCATTATAAATCCAGAAATAAAGGTCTGTCTGTAGCCCTTTTCAGATTAAGGTAAGATAAGATAAGATGGAACTTTATTTATCCCCTCGGGGAAATTCAGGTTTTTTAGCAGCAGAGTGAAAATGTTCACACAAGGTACAAAATAAAGATAACATTGAATAAACATGTAAATAAATACTGATACTGAGGTAGATATGTACAGTACATGAATGCCTCATTCAGTGGTTTCCAAACTACGGCCCGGGGTCCATTTTGAATCGGCCAAAAATTCAAAAAAGTATAATGTAATACGGCCCACAAATGAAACTTGTGCTTGTCTTCTTCTTAAATATATATGTAAAAATCTATTACACAGTAGCATTCATGTGTTAATAAGCCCACTTTTCTAATAAATGCAGTCAGTTAAAGATGGAAACATGTTCTAACAAATCTTAGTTGATAAGAAAAAAGCCCAATGACTTATTAACATAACAAGCTTGACGTAGACACTTCATATTTCTCCTTATTGTCATCAATCTGAGGCTTCTGTTTTAAGGAATGAGCTACTGACTAAATAAATGAAACCATCTGGAGAGCTGGGATGTAGGCGGTTTTCTTCTTAAGGCATTTTCAAGTATCAAGCATCATTTACCTACATTTGATTAATTTAGCTAACTTATAACTGAACTCATGAGGCGATAAACCTCTAGTGAGTGGCCCAGACCTTCGTATATTTTTCTGTATGTGGCCCTCGTGAAAAAAGTTTGGACACCCCTGGCCTGAATGACATTGTAAAGTGTTGGGAAAATACTGAATGTACTCTTCCAATATCAGAGTAACATGATAACATCCCAACTGTAGCTGTGTACATGACAGGATGTACTGTATGATTACCTAGAAGAGCATCAGGACTGTTTTAGGCATATGATAGCTATGTGATTAACATGATGATTCAGCCTCTATTTAGCCTCTATTTAGCCTCTATTCAGCCTCTATTTAGCCTCTTTAGACATATGACAAGCATGATCATTTCTGACGTGGAGCTAATCTGAACTAAACATTGAATACTGCTTTCTATTCCTCCATCTTGTGACTGTGTAACTCCCTCTCTTGTATATCAGCATGTGAAGGACACTGTTCAGGAACTAGTTGATGCTCTGTATGTGATGACTACTTCCATTCTGGAGAGGATCAGAAATACATGGACCCTGAGATTGAAGCTCAAGCCGGTGACCAGTGATATTTAACATAAAGCCTCACTTCTTGGCGGGCGCCGTCTTCTGCAGGTTCCACAGTTTGAGCGTGTGGTCCTCGGAGGCCGTGACGAGCACCGGCTCCACGGGGTGGAAAGCCAGACCTCGCACGGAGTCGAAGTGACTCCTCAGGGTGAACTTCGGGTTCCACGTCTTCCTCAGAGCGTCTTTGTTGTTGGTGATCTGAGGGAGGAGGGAGGAGGGGGGAGGGGGGTCTAATTTACACTCTAGTCTCAAGATTCAAAGGTTTTATTGTCATATGCACAAAGCTAAAGTGTAGAAATGGCAATGAAATTCTTCTGACCTGAGCTCCTCCAACAATCCAACATATATCATAAAATACAAGCATTTGTGGAATGAGCAGCAGAGCGGAGTATGTGGGGTGCGTCCATGAAACATGTGACATATCTCCTCTGCCAATGCCAAGCAGCTCCTTCCTCACAAATGTGGCCTCACTTTTCTGTCTCTTATCTACTGTAAACTGTTTTACTTTGTACTCACGTCATACGCCAGGCTGTCGGCCTCGTTGGCGACCGTCAGTCCGGCCAGTTCTCCCAGTCCCAGCTCGTTGGAGACCGCCTCGTCCACTCGGCCCATTATGAAGGACTTCCCAGGAGACGGCAGGAAAGTCATCGCTTCTACGGAGACAAAACAGACACCTGGGTTCAAAGGTCACCTATTATGCAAAGTCCACTTTTCATGTCTTTTATACATCAACATGTGTTCCCTCTGTGTAAAGAGATTCTGAGAGTTTCAGGAAAACTTTTTGTCCTGATCCATTTATATAAAAACCTGTCTGAAAATGAGCTGATCAGATTTTGGCCACTTTATGATGTCATAACGATTTTTTTGGCTTGTGTAACCATTAGCCAATCAGCTTTCAAGGTAACCCCCTGCTGTTGTCCCCGGCCAGATGATAATGGACACCCTTAAAATCACAATATATCAACAGCATTAGTTATAGCTAAGATGCATATACAACATAAACCAGGTTTAGTAAGGTAGGTTACCATCTTCAGAGCGTCCCACTTCCTGTTCGTTGAGTCTGGGAACAGTGGGGCGGGAGGGGGGGGTGACGGGCGGCTGCATGGAGGGATGGTCCTCCGCGTCCCGAAGGTTAGCCAACATGTCCTGAAGCTTAGAGCGGTTCGGTCCTGGAGGAGGACGGGAAGGAGGAGGGAGACAAAAATCAGACGAGGAAACTAACATGGAGTCAGAAGGAGACGGAGAGACGGTGAACAGAAAGGGGAGGTTTGGGAGAGAGAGAGAGAGGTGAAAAGCAGACATTAGTGAAAAGTGAAAGCGATAGAAAGGTTAATATTGTTGTAAGAAAGACAGTTAAATCTGAATTGCACAGCATGAAGGAGGGATGATGCAGAGGGTCGAACAGAAAAGATGAAGCAAATAAAACCACAGAAACAAACTATTGTATTTAATGGTTTTGACGAATACTATTTAACGTTGTAGTGCGCCAATTGCAAGTCAGTTTTAGATATTCTGTATGCTACAGGTTTAAAATAAGAAGTGCAGTACTGCATTATGTAATAAACTGTACCATATTTGCTTCGGAGATGAAAAAGGGTAGAAGTATAAAGTCATCATAACATCGAAATACTCAAGTAAAAGCACTATTACCTCAAAATTGAAAGGTATCCGAACATTTATTACTAAAAAATAAGAAATAAAACACATTTCCAGAGAAACAAAGTGACAGGAAACAGAAAAAATAAGAATCTCTGTATAAAAAGTGGAACAGATGAAATGAACCAGCTGCTGTTTTGTGAACTGCCTCAACACAAAGACATGAACAACAATCCGGATACGAAGAGATGCACTGACAATGACATCCATATTTGATATTATCATAATTCATCAATATCAGAAAACTGCACGACGGATGAATGTCAAGAACATCATCCATTTTGTAAAAGCCCCTCACTGTTTGCACACACAGAGGATGACTGATGCTGCACTCATCGCACTACAATGAATCAGAGTGAAAGATAAGACTTGTACTGTATATGATAATGGCAGCATGAATGTGATGTTTAAAATCAGTGCATCGCTTTAGGACTTTTGAGAACAGTGAGGGGATCTTCAGAACATTAAATTAGAAAATATAAAGAAGTGACGATAAGGAAAGAAGAAGAAAAACAAAGGAGACAAAACTAAACAAGAAGAGGACAAAGAGACACAGACGAGAGGAGAAGAGAGGGACATATAAAACCTTTTAAACACTAAATCTCTGAGAGAAAGGGACGGAGAGACACTGAGGCAAAGCAGAGACAGGTTTTTAGGATTAAAGGGTTGTAGTGACGGTAAAGCAGAATATAGGTTTTGGTTTACTTAAACATTGAGGTATTGTAGCTGACAGTCTCGTACAGACTTTAAACGGTCTATTCTCTAACAATGATATGCCAGATTTATGTTTTCTAAACAAAGAAAGTGGTTTGCTAAAAATCACCAAGAGATTGACGGTTATAACGTCAGTCAGCAAAACATCTAACTAACTGTGCAACCCTGTACGAAGTGTAAAGTGTTGAAGGAGCATTGATGTGTCAAAATGTGAGTTAATTGGTGTGGGTCTGCAGATACTGATGAAGTAAGAAGCTGATTTGATGTTTGTCATTAGCACAGTTAAACCCTGACAGAGTGAGGGGGGGGGAAAACATAAAAACAAAGTGAGATAATGGAACAAATACGAATAAAAGCATGAAGAGGGGGGGGGGGGTAAACTGGGTGCAGGACTCACTCTTTATGCCCTTCTTGCCCTTGCGCTCCTTCCTGTACTGCTCCTTCAGCTGAGCGATCAGACCCTGGTCCACGTCCCAGGCCAGATCCCCCGGAGAGGAGGGGTCATCCTTCTCTGCAGGAACAACGGTTACACACTTAGTACACACTAAACTCAGCTGTCTGATTGTGAGATAAATACACATTAACAACGAACAGAAACCCAGAAGAAAAACCTGCGGCTGAACCACTTGTTCCCTTCCCACATCTCCCCTCTCCCCTTTTAAAGGTCTCCTATTATACTCTTTGTAGGCATATATTATGGGTCTCAGATATACAAAAATATATAAAAAACATGTCTATGAAGTGTTTTGCTCAAAGTACCAAACAGATCATGCATTTTAGACATCCCTCATACCCCTCTATTTCAGCCCTGTTAGAGAAGTGCTGATTCTGGGTCAGTAGCTTAAAAAAAAAAAAAAAAATTATTATTTCTGAAACAGTATGGAGCTCAAAGGCTTTCTCTCTTGCCGGTTATACCACAAGGCAGTGGCGGTTCTAGAACATTTTACATGGGGTGGCAACGGGGGGGCAAGAGGTCATGCCAGGGTGGCATGGGAGGGCGGACAGTACGTGGTATTTTATACTTTATATATAACCTATTTATTGTTAAATCATGCCCTAACACAAGTTCTTAATGCACAAGAGAAACAAGGTGTTCAGACAAACAAACTAAAATATAATATAAAACAGCTCAATACTCATGATACCCTAGAACTCTGTTTACTGTAAGTACAGTCAAAGTACTTAGTTATAATTAAGTACACAAATGACATCACCCATCTCTCCCAGCAACTCATTTCAATAAATATTTCTCAATACTAAGAGCCGCTAGATTGTGCTGCTGTGATGGAATATGTAAGGAGAATAAGAACATACCATGTGGTCCAGCTGGAGTCTCATCTGCCTCCTGATCCCTGCCTCTGGCCCTCTTTCTGACACTTCATCTTTATTCCTCACATACATTTCTTCTTCTTCTTCACTAATGTCTTCATCTCCTCCTCTTCCTCCTGCTCTGACCCTCCTGGTCTCTTCATCTCTTTTCCTTTTCCTCTTTCTGTTCATCCTCATCACTTCTCAGATATGTCTTTGTGTTGTTGTTGAATCACTCCAGCTACTCTGGCCTGCAAGAGTCTACTTGTGAAAAGCACTGGTACAAATGCGTGTATAACTTTACACGTTAGGGCCATGTAGCTAATAAGTAGCTGATAAGTAGCATAATAAATATAACATCAGAAAGTATTTATCAAACGCACACAGGCAGCTGTGTTTAGACCCAGTTTGACGGTAAAGGATGTATCCTGGTTTAATCTATCTGGCCTCATTTCTGTGATGTGTAATATACGTGGATTTAATAGTACCGCATAGTTTAGCAAATAAAGTGATTGATCTCCCAGCTAGCGCTGTCTGCGTAGTATTTTGTAACGTAACGTCCCAAACAGCTCCCGTCTGTTAAACGCTATCGATTCAAACGGCAGCGTTTTATTCATATTTTGTTTCAAGCTCTCGTCCTTAGTAAAAACAAAACTAGTGGAAGGGGAAATGCTCCCAGGGGAAGCTGATCCACCTTCAGGGTGGGTAGGTTTGTTTCTCCTCTCTCTGTGAACGCCGCTCCGCAGTTTAATGCAGGGCCGTAGCTACGTTTTTAAAGGGCCTAAAATTATATTTAAAATTATTCACTTTTAATGAATGAACGGCTTGTTTCGTTGCTTGAGAAGCTTGTGGCCATAGTGTAGGTTTGTTTCTACAAGTACAGTTTTAGGGACACAAAAGTTAGGGGGGCAGCTGGGGGGGAAAGGATCTACAGTGGGGGGGCAGCTGCCCCCCCTTTCCCCCCTGTAGATCCGCCCCTGCCACAAGGTGAGTTCCTTTTTATTTCCTGCTTCTTCACACACATGCTCTCCAGTACAGGTTAGCTCTGAGTGTTAGCAATGCTAATGTAAACACCGACCATATTACGTCCAAAACACGTCGCGCATTGTTTCCGATAGCAACGTTTCTGATAGGGCCGTGGGTCCACATTTCCGATATTACGTCATATCGGACACAAATCTGGATCAGCTCCGTTGTTCCGCCGTTTTTAGAGATTTGAGTACGGAGGAAAAGAGAGAGGGTTTTATTTTCTGACACTTTGTGAGTTCCCTGACACACCGGGGACACATATTGATGTATACAAAGATATCAAAAAGTGCATTTTGCATGATAGGAGAACTTTAATACCTAAACTCAACCTCAGATTATGAGATAAATACACATTAACAAAGACACCCTGAAGAAAAACCTGCTGCTGAACCACTTGTTCCCTAGCCACTACGGACAGTTATTTCCACTTCTGTTATATATTTGCATTGTTGTCATATATTCATCCATTTCAGTCACCAAACTTACATCCGTGTCCTGCTCAAATTTGTGTGAAGACTACTATTTTTATATATTTATTGTTGTATATATTTGAATATGTTCTAGGTGAGAAACTGCATTTTGTTCTCCCTGTTTGCATCACACACGCAGAGATAATAAAGTTGACTTTGACTTTCAATTCTTAAACTTTCAGCAGCTTGTTTTTCTTTATTTGCTGAAGTTACTCTCCTTTACCATCAGTGGCCTAAGTGAGCAGTCAAAGTATCTGTCAGAGTATTACAAAAGAAATATTGAAAATAGATTTAGCTGCTGTCACTCCAGTGAAAGGGTTTGCCTTCAACTCCTCCTGAGAGCTGAAATGGTGATACAAATAAAGTGCAGATGTGGGTCCAGGAGAAGATTCAAAGATGAAACACTTGCAGGAAACACTGAGGGGAGAGTCTGTAACAATGACCGTGATATCTGTTAGACAAGGAAAGGGTCTCATCTTTGCGTTTCATAATGCTACCGAACACAGAGAGGGTTTCTAACCAGATGGCTCCATCCCCTCCAAACAACAGCGTGATGCTTTCCGAGCTCAAAATAAAATATAAATACGGAGAAGTCTGCAGAGATCGTTCCTCTCGTGGCTTCATCGCCTCATGACTCAGCTCTCCTTTACAACTCTCTGGACTGTGAAGTTGTTGAATCACTTTCTGCGTGGGGATGCTTTCTGTCGCTGGACTGATCAGAGTGAATGCGTTGCTAAGAGACAGTAAAAAAAAAGAAAAGGGATTTGGTGTGATGTGCGGGGGCTGCCGGGTCGCCAGCTGCAAACTTGATTTTGTTCAGAAAGTTTTATAAATATAGACAGGAAATGCGTCAGTGAAGGAGGTTTGTGTTTTCTACATGAACCAGTTTGATCTGATGTAAAAATAACGGGCAGAATATTCATGTAAATTGTAAATGGACTGTACTTGCCATGCCGGTGTAAACGTCGCTGCTTTTATTTTGTTGTTTTTATTTGTTTTTGTTGTTTTGTTTCAACCATTTTACATATATATATATATATGTATATATGTAAGTACAGTCCATCGCAGTCACAGTCACCGATGTAGATTTTTAACATTGATTTGTACTACAACTACAACGATTTCAGGTTCAAACTGATATTTTTCGTGTTTTTCAATCAGCCGTACTCACTCAATTCACGTTTTTTTTATTGGTGCTTTGAAGTAAGCTGTGAATAAAAGTCATGAGGGGAAAATATAAATTATCGTGGTGGCTGCAGGACGTTGATACAACCTTTTATTTTACGACTTACTGTAGAAGGTCTTCAGGTTTATACTGGGGCTTTGTCATGTTTTTCTATCAGCTGTTTCCATGCAGTTTGACACTTTTTTAAGTGATGCATTGAATCAAGCCCCGTAAAAGAAAACATTAAAGTGGACCTATCATGCTATATTTTAATAATATAGTATAGGACCATACCTATATAAGGCATATTTATACTTTTTTTTTTCAAAATACCAAACAGATCATGCATTTTAGCCATGCCTCATTTTGCTCAATTTGACAATTTCTAGCAAGGGCTGATTCTGTGAGAACAGCACCACCTACAGGCCTGGCATATGTACTACAGCGTCTCCAGCGCTTTCGAACGGCAATGGCCGTGGCTGTCTCCTCCTGATAGGTGGAGAGTTGGCCCAATAGCCGTAGCGCCACTGTCCTGACGTCAGGACAGTGTTCAGTGTTTTTATCAGATCCGTTGCAGCCCCTTTTTTAGAGATTTGGGTATGGAGGAAAATAGAGAGGGTTGTGTTTTCTGACACTTGGTGAGTTCCCTGGAACACCGGGGACACATATTCATGTATACAAGACGTACAAAAGTGCATTTTGCATGATAGGTCCCCTTTAATTTTAAATTAATAGAGTCAAATGAAGATTATTATGGTGGCTGTGCCCAAGTTTAAATGTGTTTTGTGTGGGTTTTCATTCTAGATCAAGTTGGATTAGGAAACCTTTTGAGATCTGACTTTAATCTCAGAAAAAAAAGCACTTTTGGTCAGAACTAAAAAATTGTTCACCACTAACCCTCCACTGTAACACAGATGAATAGCAGGATATTTATTTATATTGATAAAAAGTTATTCTTTTACTAAGAACAACTGCATACACGGCATTTTACACTTTTTCATTTGGTGCCTTGAAGTAAACTCTGGAAAAAAGACAGAGATTTCAGATTCAAATTGTCAAATTCAGATTATCATGGTGGCTCTTCCCAATGTCTTCTTGACTTCATTTACAACCGTAAACTGAAACCTGCAGACGTTTAGTTTAAAGGAATCTGCACACTCACATTTTTCCACATGGCTTTTGATTGATAACTCTTTTACAACGTTTTAAGAGTCTTATTGTTTTTTGTATTGGTGCTTTGAAGAAAACTCTGGAATAAAAGACATGAGTGTCAAATTGTAATTAGCGTGGAGGCTGCAGGATAATCATGTAGATTTTTAACGTTGGTAAAACGTTTTCTTTACGAATGAGAAGATTTCAGGTTTATACTAGGGATGGGAATTTGAAAGCAAATGTATATTCGAATATTCGACCCCCCAAAAAACGGTTAACCGATTAACCGAAATGTACATATCCTATAAAAAAAAAAAAAGCGGGATTTTTTTTTTTACAAAAAATAAATAAAAATTGTCAAATGTATTGAACTGGTGATCACAGTTTGAACAGTTGACAGCTATAGGCCTACAGCTTTCATGCTTAAAACATAACTTGGTTTTTAAATGAAAGAGGGATCATACACGAACAACATAACGGGTTAGGGTAACGTAACCCTATCACAACAGAGATCAACAAGCTGTAACAGGGCCTCTGCACAGAATGCAGCTATTCAATACTCATTCTTGTTTAAGAATATGAGCATGTCTACTCAGGGGAGAGGCGGGTGCGGAGACGATTCACAATCAGGCCAGCTGTAGAGAAGACCCTCTCAGCTGGAATGTGGGCATAAGATGAGGTTTGAGTCTGCGTGAGCTGCGTGTAGGGAGGGGCTTTAGGGCCATGTCATTAGCTAGAACTAGATCTGATGGATTTGGACAGAAACGCGAGTGAAGTATAACTGGAAGTGAGAGAGAGAGATCAGCACCTGCAGCTCTGCCCGCTGTGAGGGACCGGTGAGCGGAGCAAAACACACCTTTAGACCTAACACACTTAGCTATGGCACTGTCGTATACATTGAATTATTCCATTTGATAATATGTAATCAACTTAGGCACCCCTCCCAAAAAATAAATACAAATAAAATAAAATTACAATAAAAATATTCATAACTCATATTCGAATACCTGAATAATTTCCAATATTCGATTCATCGTTCCCATCCCTACAGTAGTTTATACGGGTGCTTTTTCCTGTTTTTCAATCAGATGTAAACACTCAATTTATTCTTTTTTATTGGTACATTGAAGTAGTAAGTCACTCTGGAAAATAAAACATTAATAAATTAATACAAAAAAAGAGTGAAATTCAGATAATCATGGTGGCTCTTCCCATGTTCAAATGTCTTCTTGACGTAAACTGAAACCTGCAGACGTACAGTTTAAAGCAGGGGTGTCCAAACTTTGAGGGCCACATACAGAAAAATATACGAAGGGCTGGGCCGCTCACTAGAGGTTTACTGCTTCATAAGCTCAGTTATAAGTTGGAAAAGTCAATCCAAAGTAGGTAAATTACTCTTGATACTTGAAATTGCTGTAAGACAAAAACAGCTCACAGCTCTGAGACTGAATTTATTTGAAAATTGGGCCTATTAACACATGAATACTGTGTAATATATATATTTAAGAAGTACAATATAAGACAAGCAGAAGTTTATTATACTTAAGTCATTATACTTTTGTTATTTGCTGAGTGTTGGCCGATTCAAAATAGTTTGCACACCCCTGGTTTAAAGGAATTTACACACCCACATTTCTCTACATTGCTATTGGTTGAATATGCTTTTTACAGTTTGATTTTAAGTCTCACCCCACTCTCCACTGTCCTCTCCGCTCCTGGACTCAGTCGATCCGTCCAACTCGTCGGGACTCGCCAAGAAATCGAAGCCCTTCAGAGCCTCCTCCGTGTCGGGGTCGTCGCTGAGGTCAGAGGTCGTGGAGGAAGGCGTAGACGAATGCTTCTTCCTCACCATCTGTTAGGAGTTACACAGATGAGGAAGACTCAAAATATGTCTCTTTCTGCTGACAACATCCCAACAGGAAATGAAACCGCAGGTCACCACCGTCTCCTTTCTGCAGCTTGAAGCAGTTTCAGGAATGTCTTGAGGAGCCAGAGATAGTTTGAATATTTTCACTAAGGTGGAATGATGAAGCCTTAAATCCTCTGTATCTTGTTAGTAAAATACATGTATGCTCACATATACCATAATCATACCTGAGACCAGAGATGATAAAAGTACACACATCATTTACTCAAGTAGAAGTACAGATAATTGTGTTTAAAAATACTCTGGTAAAAGTAGAAGTACTGACTAAACTTCTTTACTCAAGTCAAAGTAAAGAGGGCTTTGAAATGTACTGAAGTAAAAAGTACCCATAACTAGCAGCTGTTTTAAAGAGTACCTGACCTCCCTTTATATTAATAGAACAATAATGTCATTGTTAGCTAATGAATGTTTCCATGCTGAACAACGGCAACATGACAACGTTTTCATTGGTCCCTCTTCTTTAGAGAAGACCAGGAAATGATGGATACACGGATCGTGTTCAAATCAATAGGCACGCAATGACTCTAAATAATAATGATCACGCCACCAAACACACATTCAAACTAAAGGAACCAGCCTGTTTGGAAAATGTAAGAAGTAGAAAGTACAGGTATTTGTGTTCAAAATGTAAGAAGTAGAAAGTACAGGTATTTGTGTTCAACATGTAAGAAGTAGAAAGTACAGGTATTTATGTTCAAAATGTAAGAAGCCAAAGTAAAAAGTCGTCAGAAAAATAAGTAGTGGAGAAAAGTACTGATACCAGAAAAATGTACTTAAGTACATTAATGAAGTATTTGTACTCCACTACTTCCCACCTCTGCCTGTGACAAAGACAATGCATTAAGTACTGCATTTAAAGGGGACCTGTCATGCAAAATGCACGTCTTTTATACATGAATATGTGTCCCCGGTGTTCCAGGGAACTCACCAAGTGTCAGAAAACACAACCCTCTCTATTTTCCTCCATACCCAAATCTCTAAAAAAGGGGCTGCAACGGATCTGATACAAACTGATCCAGATTTGAACACTGTCCTGACGTCAGGACGGTGGCGCTACGGCTATTGGGCCAACTCCACCAATCAGGAGGAGACAGCCACGGACATTGCCGTTCGAAAGCCCTGGAGACGATGTAGTACATATGCCAGGCCTGTAGGTGGTGCTGTTCTCACAGAATCAGCCCTTGCAAAACAGATCTAAACATTTTCAAATTGAGCAAAATGAGGCATGGCTAAAATGCATGATCTGTTTGGTATTTTGAAAAAAAAAAAATTATAAATATGCCTTATATAGGTATGGTCCTACACTATATTATTCAAATATAGCATGATAGGTCCACTTTAAGTACACATTTTAGGTATCTGTATTCCCATTTCCTTCAACCTCATACTACGGTTAACTCCACTACAGACGTCTGACAGCTTTTCATCCCCTTCCTGTACAGTGAAGATCCTTTATCTCCAGATGTGTTGATTTTTGTGATAAACTGAAGAATAAGGTGTTCCTTATGTGTTGAGAGAATGACCTTCTCAGGGTAAATCAACTCTTTTAAAGCTTTTTGGATATACTTGAAAATGCATCGTCACAAAGTTGAAAACTTTATTCTGAGAAACTCAATACTTTTTTTAGACTTTTGACATGTTTTCCCACTGGGTGGTGAGGCTGCACACACATAATGATTTTACAGAATGTTACGCATTGCTGTAATTTAAACTACCCAACAGTATATATACGGTCTACTGTATATTTTCTACTTTTTAATGCTGCTTTCATTCTATTTTGAGATGTTTAAATTCTAGTATTGTTTATTTCTACTCTTCAATATCTACTTATGTGCAATGCCTTGTTTTGTTGTGTTGTGTTTGAAGCTGCTGCAATGCAAACATTCCCCAATTTGGGATCAATAAAGTAACTCTTATCTTATCTTATAGGAGTTCAAATAATCTCAACGTACATACACATCGATGCCAATATGAATCCCAAATCATCATATTCTGTATAACAGTAAAACACTGACAGGGAACATTTAACTGCACAGTGAGTACTTGAACTTACTTGAAGTACATTCCCCTGATAATACTCACATGATTTGACTAAAGTAAGGTTTTAAATGCAGGCCTTTCACCTGTAGTGGACGGTTAGGGATCTGAATACCTCCTCCACAACTTTACCAAGAGCTGTGATTTGCTGAAAGGTAACAGAATACATTTGACAGAAGTGTGTAAATGTCTTACTGTGGCCATGTTTAAGATGGTCTTGTCCCTCCCTTCGCTGTCTTCCTCATCATCATCGTCGCTGAATTCTGCTGCAGCGCTCTCGATGAATTTAAAGGCCTCCAACACCGTGGCCGAGTCCGACATGTCAGGTTTACTGGAAGAAGAGAGAGAGAGTAAAGAGAGGAGGTTAGTCTGGTAATAAAACAAGACAATTGCTACCATCTAATCGGAGACACAATAAAGTCAGACTGAAGCATCCTTTGTGCTCCAGTCAATCCTCTCAGTAAATACTGAGCTGAATCCGGATCAAATGCACGCTGAAGGCTCTTTGAGCAGCTTTTCTCTCACTGATTTTGATGTTATGTTAAATGTTTGTTGTTGTGATATTTGTCTATGTTGATGTTACACATGGAGCTGCTGTGATGCAAGTTACATTTCAGACTTGATCTGAAACAGTATTAAAGGTCCCCTATTATACTGTTTTTCATCAATATATTATAGGTCTCAGATATATACTAAACATGTCTCTGATTGGCTGAAACACCAAACAGATCATTGCAGCATCCCATAATCCCCTCTTTCAGAGTCTCTTTCCACAGAGCGGACACATGTTGATGTAGAAGAGACATGAAGAAGAGCGGACACATGTTGATGTAGAAGAGACATGAAGAAGAGGGGACACATGTTGATGTAGAAGAGACATGAAGAAGAGGGGACACATGTTGATGTAGAAGAGACATGAAGAAGAGGGGACACATGTTGATGTAGAAGAGACATGAAGAAGAGGGGACACATGTTGATGTAGAAGAGACATGAAGAAGTGGATTTTGCATAATAGGCGACCTTTAATGTATTGTCGTATCGTATGGTAATACAAACTGGGATTTTTTGGAGGGTAACATAAACAGTTTCCTCTCCTACCTGACCATGCCGCTGTCCTTCATGGAGGACGGCTCGGTGCCGTTGACCATGTGTTCGGCTTTGTTCTCTGAAGGGTTGTCTCCTGAGTCTCCGGTCAGACCGAGCAGCGATCTCACTCTCTGAGACTTCACATCCAGGATGGTGTCCGTGTAGCCGACCTCCTGCAGGTATCTGAGGGGGAGACGGAGACAAGAGAAAGGTCAGAGGAGAACCAGGAGTTCATGTGAAAAGTCAAAGTCAAAGTCAACTTTATTGTCAATCTTTCAGTTTGTGTTTACAAACAGAGAGATCGTAAAATACTGTCTTCCACAATCCCGAATACAAAAACAAATATAAACTTAACACAAAAAGTAAGGACATTTGTGTTTGGTAGATTATTTCTTTGGCAGATGAGATTTGTCACATTTTTCATGGGCGCACCCCACATACTCAGCTCTGCTGCTCATCCCACAAATGCTTGTTCCTCACAAGTGTGGCACCATTGGAAAGGTAAGAAAACAGGCTTTCCAACGGTATAAGGTGTATTGCCAACAACCATTGTTACAACAAAGAAATCCTCTACCAAACACAAATTTCCTAACTTTTGGTGTTAAGCTTATACAAAAATATGTATGCAAATATGTGTATACCTATATATACACAATCAAAAGACACATTTATACATATGCACACATTAAGACCTAAATAAAAGCACAACAATCAATATATACAAAATAACAGTCACTTCAATATCTTTGAGAATGTACATTAGTGCAAGACTGTCCGTAGCAGCGTAAAAGAAAGTGTCTGGAGCTGGATTTGAGTAAATGGACTGTACTTATATAGCGCTTTATCCAGTCTTTACGACCCCTCAAAGCGCTTTACATACTACGAGTGTGTGTGTGTGTGTGTGTGTGTGTGTGTGTGTGTGTGTGTGTGTGTGTGTGTGTGTTGTTAAAGTCCAGTGGGGGCAGGGGGGAAACAATTGAGGGACCTGTAAAAACCCATTGACCTTCTCTGACTCCTCCAGAGAGACACAAGACGGAGACAAGAGAAATGTCAGAGGAGAATCGGGAGAGGAAACAATCGAGGGTTAATCATCCTGTGATCAAACGGCCCAGTACTCGGACCTGTGAAAACCCATTGACCTTCTCCGACTTCTCCAGAGACTTTTATAAACGTCTGCCTCCCCATCCGCCCTCTCCATTCAGTTTCTCAGTCTCTTCCTGCAGCGCTGGTGCCGTGCTGTACCCGCTGAGCCTCACAACACAACAATCATCAATGGAGCAGCGTCTTTAAAGGGCCGTGCTACCACGTTTAGGAACTCGAGCACACTGTGTGTCCTCTGTGCAAAGCTGCAGCTCAGTCAGGGTTTAACAAGATGCAAAACGAGAACAAAAATGGAGAAAATACGGAATATTTGGCGAGAAAAGTCTAGTTTTCTTTTGCACAACTATCAATAACTGAGTGGCTGATTTCATTGACCTGTACCATTTCTTTAATTTTATAATTATTTAGCACTTTATTCGATGTTTAGACAAATACAACATAAGTTTGGTCTGATTTGGATGTAAGGTGTCAGAACAGCAACAGAGGAATAAAAGTGAAAACACAGCAGAGTATAGATACGGTCACACAGGGATAAGAATAAAAACAACAGTCTAAATAAAATGTAAAAAGTAAGAAATAAGATACAGTAACACGTCTATGTGCAGATGCAAGTAGGAAGGCATGGTTACAAATAATGCAATCCACAAATGTGATATACTGTTAATACTGAAAATACTTGCAAAGAAGTACAGATTACCCTTTAACTTGCATTATCCAATCAGAATCAAGCAAAGGTCCAAAAGAAGCTACTCGCTCAAAGGAACCTAATCTGTGTACTGTACCTTCACCCCGGGACACCTAGAGGACGACCTGGCTGACCTGAGAGCAGCGTTTAAGGGAGAGGTTTTATCCTCAGAGGACGGAGGTTTAATTCTGAATAACATGTAGTGTGTTTGTTCACAGAGAGAGAGAGAGAGAGAGGGGGGGTCTCTCTGTACCAGCCTCTCCGATCGCAGGAGGCCTCACACAATCCTCCATTCACTGACACACACACACACACACACACACACACACACACACACACACACACACACACACACACACACACACACACACACACACACACACACACACACACACACACACACACACACACACACACACACACACACACACACACACACACACACACACACACACACACACACACACACACACACACACACACACACACACACACACACACACACACACACACACACACACACACACACACACACACACACACACACACACACACACACACACACACACACACACACACACACACACACACACACACACACACACACACACACACACACACACACACGGCAAGGCAAGGCAAGGCAAGGCAAGTTTATTTATATAGCACCTTTCAACACAAGGCAATTCAAAGTGCTTTACAAAAATGGAAGACATTTTAAAAATGGCATTTAAAATCAGTCATTAAAAAGGAAAGATAATAAAATAAACATTAAAAGAAAAAATACATGGATAAAAGATAAAAGTTACAGTGCAGTTTAAGATGTGAATAGTTCAATTAAAAGCAGCGGCAAAAAGAAAAGTCTTCAGCCTGGATTTAAAAGTAGTAAGAGTTGCAGCGGACCTGCAGGTTTCTGGGAGTTTGTTCCAGATATTCGGAGCATAATAACTGAACGCTGCTTCTCCATGTTTAGTTCTGACTCTGGGGACAGAAAGCTGACCAGTCCCTGAAGACCTGAGAGATCTGGATGGTTCATAATTTAGCAGGAGGTCAGACATGTATTTTGGGCCTAAACCATTCAAAGCTGTAGACACACACACACACACACACACACACACACACACACACACACACACACACACACACACACACACACACACACACACACACACACACACACACACACACACACACACACACACACACACACACACACACACACACACCACACACACACACACACACACACACACACACACACACACACACACACACACACACACACACACACACACACACACACACACACACACACACACACACACACACACACACACACACACACACACACACACACACACACACACACACACACACACACACACACACACACACACACACACACACACACACACACACACACACACACACACACACACACACACACACACACCACACACACACACACACACACACACACACACACACACCACTGTCAGCTCTGGTCCCAGTGGATTAGTGTTTGATTCCCATTAAAAGTGTTAATCTCCATTAAGAAGATTGACTCAGCTTTCTGTCCTGAGACACACCCACACACACACACTCAGCTGTTCCATGACACTGTGAAAGTCTAAATGAGTGTGTGTTCGTGTATGTTTGTGTGTGTGTGTGTGTGTGTGTGTGTGTGTGTGTGAACTCACTGTCTGAGCAGCTGGCGTCCTTGTTTCCAGCTGAGCTGATGGCTGCTGTTTGGAGGACTGGGAGCCTCACTGTCGTTCCCCTCATCTGTGTGTGGGACAAAACAAATTAGCAACATGTTTACATTCCTTCATTCACACGTCAAAATCCTGCAGCTCCTCCTGGGGGATCCTGACCATCCCAGCTGGGAGGAATAATCCCCCAGAGTGTGTGTCTGCTCTCAGGCTTTCTCTCCCCGTTAGTGCTCAGAAAACATCCACATGGAGGCGTCCAAGAGGCGTCCTGATCCGAAAAGTTGTTTCAATCAACACAAAACTCATGTGAGGAGAGAAGAGACGCTGATCTCTGGCCTTAGCGCTGTTTTAAGGCATTAGCAAACAATTCTTATGAGTACATCCCTTTTTTTAGTGAGTAGATGTATGGTCTGGACAGAACTTGAACCCCACATAACCAGGTAATGAGGCCAAGACTGATCTGAAACACCCCATGTTGCTTCTTTCAACAGGCATATTTGGATGACTTTATCGTGGACGTTTACCAATAGGAGCACGGACAATCTATCATTCTTACAACGATAAGCATGTAGGAGCTGAAGGGGTGATTGCGTGCTGCCAAAACAGAGACAAGTTCACACTTAGGATGCCATTGTTTGTTCACATGTCATGTTTCTCTGACAAATCATGACAGGAATGTATGTGTTTCCTAATCTGAAAGGTCATATTAACAGGCGGGTCTGACCACAACTGCTTCAATCCGAGGGCTGCATATTTTTATTACAATTTAAGCAGAATTTCAATAACAGAGAGAGAGGTTTGTCTCACCTGAGTCATAGCTCGGAGGTATGATTTCTCCCTGGTTCAGCTCCGTCCCGTACTTCAGCTTATGGTACTTTGCCCTGAGGGTGACACATTCATTATAACAATGAACTGGCTTTGTGAGACTTATTTTTGGATCAATTGTCAATAAAAGACCATAAAGATTTTATATATTCAAAGAAATCTAGTATGAATTTATTTCAGTTCACTATGACCGTGAATTTGAGACTTTGAACACACATTAGAGGGCGAATACATCGAAGTAAAGTCAGCTTTGGGACGTTATAAAAATATCATGTCCCAATATGCCTGGTCAGGATAATTGTGATTCATAGTATTGATGCACTTTTAATCAAAACATGTTCTCAAAGTGGCATTCAAAATACTGGAATTAATTGATCTTACGTTTAGTAAAGAACCACTTTTGTATTGCATCACAGATAAGACACATGGTTTAAGATAAAACCAATCTTAATTACAGTAATCCTAAATCATAAGGATTTATAATCTGCAATATATAAAACAATTACTAAAAATAATCTACATAAATATAGGATAAATAACTAAAATAGCAAAATTGTGTGTCTATTCTTTCTTAAATTATAATGATGAAACACTGTATTGTTTTATAGTGGATTTAGAGCATAAATGAAATCAAACCATCAGGTAATAAAAAATAAATACACTTTAAAAGATGGTATTACTGTTAAATTAAAGTTACAGAAGCCTGTAGAAAGAAAGAAAGAAAGAAAGAAAGAAAGAAAGACGGACAGACAGAGAGACAGACAGGCAGAGAGACAGACAGAGAGACAGGCAGACAGACAGACAGACAGACAGACAGACAGACAGACAGACAGACAGACAGACAGACAGACAGAAGACAGACAGACAGAGAGACAGACAGAGAGACAGGCAGACAGACAGACAGACAGACAGACAGGCAGGCAGACAGACACACAGACAGAGACAGACAAAGTTGTTTTGCCTCTTATGTTTTGACTATTGTAAAGGCCTGTTTTCCTTGATGACTGTGTGAAAAGTTTATTATTTTATTTTGAGTAAATGCATAGCACAATATCAACACACCACCGGAGGCCAAGCAAGTCATCCAAATGTCCATCCATCTTCCATCCAAATGTGTGTAAAACAAATCTTATCTCAGGAAAACGTGTTAGAAATGTGTGTTTAAGTGGCTTGGGTAGAAAGCAAAGGAAGGAAGCTGCGACAAACACTAAAATGGTCCTTTAAAGAGCAGCTAACGCTAAACAGAGTCGAGGTGTCCGGTCATGACCTCTTCCTCACGCCTCAGTAAACATGCAGGGCTGCAAATCAAACACTCAGACGACTGAACTGTGAACCCTGTCGCCAGATTATGTGATGTATTACTAATAACTCAAGAGGATAAGCTGCTCTGTGAGGGGACGGATCAATTTCAAACGGTCAATCAGTCACTTTTAAACTCAGATTGACTGCACATATTTGAGAGTCATTTGTCTTATTGTTCTAAATGGTCTCTTATTTTAAAGTGGACCTGTCATGCTATATTGGAAAAATATATTGTAGGGCCATACCTATACAAAACATGTCTGTGAAGTTTTTTGCTTCAAATCCCAAACAGTTCACCCATTGTAGCCATGCCTCATACTGCTCAAACCCCTCTTTTGAAGCCCTGAACACGGATTTTGGGTCCTTAGCTTGAAAAAAAAAAAATAGAGTAGGCGGAGCTAATGCCTGATCAGAATTCTACCGGAGATAAAGTTAAATTCTGCTGTGATAAAACGCCGTCCTGTTCTAAACCACATCAAGGATTATTTCTGAAACAGTATGGAGCTCAAATGCTTTTTCTCTTGCGGGTTTATCACAAGGTGAGTTCTTTTTTTATTTCCTGCTTTTTAAACACATGTGCTCTCCAGTACAGGTTAGCTCTGAGTGCTAGCGAGGCTTGCTAATGTAAACAAAGACGAGATTACGTCCAAAACACGTCAGGCATTATTTCTTATAGCAACTCTCTGTGGGTCCGCTGCCGATTTGACGTCATATCGGCGGCAAATCTGTATCCGCTCGTTGTACCCCCGTTTTTAAAAGATTTGGGTACGGAGGAAAAGAGAGAGGGTTTTATTTTCTGACGCTGCGTGAGTTCCCTGACGCACCGGGGACACATATTTATGTATAAAAGACATCACAAAGTGCATTTTGAATGATAGGTCCCCTTTAAATTTGTATTTTCATTACCGTGTGTAATGCGCTATTCAAAACCAAAGCAAATACCATGCATTTCCTTTTTTTATTTTATTTGTATATAACAAATGTTCTGTTTTTATTTTATAATAGTTTTTACAATAGTTTTTATAATATTAAATATTTGCTCTTTAAAACGTTTTATTCTCTTACTGTGTTTTGTACGATTATACACCAAGACAAATAGCATTTTATTGAATTTCTTTTAAATCTATTTAAATTAAATATCGTTTTTTTTACAAATGTCGTTAGAATATTTCAAAATGTGCTCCTACTGTATTTCACATGTTTTATTTCTCTTTCTGTGTTTATGTATCAACCAATATACACCAAAGCACATTCCTTTTTAGAATAAAAACATCTGAATCTTTTCTGAATTCTGCAGGAAAAAAACCAGATTAATTTCATCAAATGTACGTTTTATTTCTGCACGTGTGCGTCCTCACCTCTCCTGTTTGAGGGCGTACTCCAGCATCTTGATCCGTCTCACCAGGTCTTTCTTCAGGTTCTCCTGGCCTCTCCGCTCGCCCTGCAGGAAGGCGATCTGCGCCTGGAAGACACACAGAAAACACTTAATAATAATAAAGCTTTATTTATATAGCACTTTTCATACAACACATGCATCTCAAAGTGCTTTACAAAATGACACAAGTATTACAAGTAGAAAATGTCCCAAAGCCTCCTGGGAAATGTGACAGGGGGTAAAAGGTAACTTGTGACACGTCTCTGCGTCTGATCCGTCTTAAAGTCGCCTCTCAGACGCGAGGCGGACGCCAGGCAGCGACTCAGAGAGCAGCGTGGGAACAGACCACCGTGGGAACAGACCACCGTGGGAACAGACCACCATGTGACCGACGTACAGATCAGTGGGTAGAGCTCTGACGACCCATACTGGGGCTTCATAAAAGGCACTGGTTGTCCAAAAAAATCTTAGAGTTAGGGTTATAAAATAATGTGAGAGGGTATTTTTGCCTTTTAACAGCTTTAAAGGTGGGGTAGGTAAGTTTGAGAAACCGGCTCGAGATACAGTTTTTGTTATATTCCATGGAATGCTCTTAACATCCCGATAGCAATGAATATCTGAAGTGCTTTGACAAAAAATCCATAAAAAAATATCATCTGAGGAAGCCGTAGTACTGTAAAAAGCACGACCAATCATCTGAGCCGGCCCGGCTAAAATAACTGGATGGCCTACCTGCCTGTCAGCCTTCCATCTGTGCACAAACTTATCTCGTGCCCTCATTGGTCATGTGCGCGTTCGTGTGTGTTGGAGGAGGGGCTCTGTAAGGAAGTGGCAGACGTGTATTTTCAAATTCTAGCGATCTCGAGCCGGTTTCTCCAAAATTACCTACCCCACCTTTAAGTGAAATAATTTATTTTACTTTTTTTGTTTTATCCGGTCCTGTGTTTATTTGTATTTTTTTTTACTTCTATTGATTTTAAGTGTTTGTTTTATCAGTTACAAAGTTATGTGGGAAGGTATTTATTGTATTATTTGTTTTTGGTTTGTGAAGCACTTTGGGTTACCTTTTGTGTCTAAGGGTCTGTACTGTATTAATAAAGTTTGATTGATTGATTCATAATAATAAGCAACACAACTGTCTATAGATCCAGCTCATAAACGACCTAAAAACACTTTGGAAAAATATATATAATATAGATTTCTACATTGAATTAACAACACATCATATTGCCCATCTCTATGTGGAGTAGCTACATGTTGTGTGGTCTTAAACAATGAAATGTCCGTTTAGCACTACAGCATGTGTCCTTTACCATGACTCTGCTGTTTGTGCAGGATGGAGTCAGCTGTTAGGCAGCAGGATGCAGGATGAAGGACCCCCCCCCCAGAGGTTATCTGCGTCACTGCCTCCTCCTCCTCTTCCTCTCAGTGACAGTTGTTTGTGTTTACTGACGGTATGAGAATCAGGGCAGATGTTATATTTAGTATGAGAGTTCAAAACAAACGGTAGCAGCTGGCAGGAGAAACGCTGCGTACACGAGTGTTTGTGTTTATGTTTTGTCACCTGAGTCTTCCACTTAAAATAAAAAGATGCTATAAAAAGTTTTTCAGAATCAGAAATCCTTTCTCGTCCCGCAGCGAGGACATTTAAGGCGTTACAGCAGCAAAGGTACGGGTGGATTTATATATTGATATTGGTGACTTTATACTTTGGCTGCAGCTAACAGGGATCCCCATGCAGTCAAATAACAGATATTAAAGAGGCCCTATTTTCCCTTTCCACTCTGTTGGGAAAAAGTCTCTCAGAAAAACAACTTGAAGAGAAGCTTTCCTGTAGAGGTTTAAACTTTTGTGATATTACATTATTTCTGTGTCTCCAATCAGTAAAGATCTCACTTTATTTTAACCTCCATCCAATTAAACTCCCTCCCTCTGATTGGTTGATGATCTCTGTCGGTGTTACAGAACGTCCTCTGGAAGCAAGACGCTATTACAATTTATTACATGGCTTAGTTGAATACTCGATTCTGATTGGTCAATTCAGAACACGTGACACGTTGTTAATCCGGAACAGACAGACCGCTGTCAAGGACTTATTGACCGTTGTTAAGGACGCTCACATCTGCACAAACAAGTCCGTTCGATTTAACTGTATACAGTTTGGCCGAAAAGCAAACTGCATTTTTCTAACTGACAAGACAAGAGCGACAAGAAAACAGCGGAGAAGTAACGGGCAGAAACCCTCCTTTTTACGCAGCGGTCCAGACATAGACATCAAACGGCAAAACATATTCAGTGTGCAGTTCCTTTGGCATTAGGGCAGGGATATCTAGATACTTTCCAAGGTTTGACATAATGAATTGTGCTACTTTTAAAGCAAGCAACGATGTTTTCAAATCTGTAATCAAAAAGCTCCGCCTTTCTGCCGTTGCTACGTTTTTCAAACGGTAACAACGGACTATTTTCCTTAGCGGATGCATGTCAATTTAAATCAATACATACAACTATTTTTTAAATCAATAAAATCATTTTCTAAATCCATAAAAGCATTTCAATTAATATTGGGAGTCATATCATTACTTTGTTGAGAATGTGGCCATGTAATAAGCGGGATAATGTGCAGCGACTTGGTCATTATGGGGAAAAGAACACCTTCATGCCGATCTAGATCGGCATGAAGGTGTTCTTTTCCCCATAATGACCGCGTCGCTGCACATTATCCCTTACATGAAGTTCACTGAGTTTATATCCATGGAGATGCTTTGCAGCCTATATTTGAACATGATACAGATGTAAAGACTTTTAACACCTTCAGCGTCTGCCACCTCCTGCGATGGCCCCTCGTCTGTTGCCATGGCGTCTGAGGATGGATGGTGTTTAACGAGCTTTTGTGTAGGAAGGCATCTGCATCACGTCGGAGGTGTCTTATCTCATAATTATAGATTTAAATGAAATATCTGAATGTCATGTTTTGGATGCTGAAGTACTGAATGTCCCCGTCTGAATGTGGAGGCAGAAAACATTTTGATAGCATCGGTCACACTCATCACGACTCTTTACAATTATAAGACGTTCCAGCGTTTTTCTTTTTTTTTTAAATAAAGGTCACCTATTATGCAAAATCCACCTTTTCATGTCTTTTATATACGTGTCCCCTCTGTGTAAAGAGACTCTGAAAGTAAGATTCTCTCTCTTTTTGTCCTGATCCATTTATTTAAAAACCTGTCTGAAAATGAGCTGATCAGATTTTGGCCACTTTATGATGTCATAACGATGTGTTGGCTTGTGTAACCATTAGCCAATCAGCAACCAAGGTAACCCCCCCCCACATTATCACCTGAATCTCCTCCTAGAGCAACATTGTGTTCTTTGTAACCAAATCTCTCTCAGAGGGGCGTGGGGAGGGGCTCCTTATTTTCATCTAAAGTAACAGACAGAGAATCAGCACTTTTGAAACAGGCTCTGGATATATCTGAGACCTATTATATATTGATGAAAAACAGTATAATAGGGGACCTTTAAAGCACCTCAAACTGCTCTTCTTCTGTGGTTTAGTCGTGTGTTTCTTTCACTCTGCTTTCCACTCCAGTTAGGCTGAAAATCATGTGAATGCGTGAATTTGTTAACTAGGTTGGAAAGCACATTCTGCTGTAAACTAATGCCCTTATGTTCTCTGTATTTATTTATATATGAAAAACCATCACAGTGGGAAACTATGCGTTATCTCATAATCAAATATAATTTATAAAACCACAATAATAACTATAGGAGTTTTTTTTTTTTTAATAAAAAAAAATTAAATAATAATAATACAATAATAATAATAAAATAATAATAATATTAATAATAACATAATAATAATAAAATAAGGGTAGAAACCTTGCAAGAGTAAAATAAATATAAAAAAATAAAAATAAGGATTAAATAAACACACTGAGTATCTTTTCCTTTATCCCTAAACTTTTGAAAGTGAAGTAGTTACATTTAAATATTGATGTCTATGTCAGTCAATGTGCATCTTGCATATAAAATGAATACCAGACAGATTCACTGTCACACAAAAGCTTAATAATTATAAAACATGAGAAACATATTTTAATAAGAATGAAATGAAACTAAAATCTAGAAAAATGTGAATAGAAATTTGAAAAAGTTAGGGTACAAACACTGAGTATCTTTCCCTATACATGTATGACTGCACTTTTGAAAGTGAAGTAGTGAACATAAGTATAGTCAACATGTACAAATGCATATACATATGAATGAATATAAGTCTACTACTTGCAAGTACACCAGACTCTTAGGTAGGTAACGTGCAGATTGAATTGAGTGAACAATAAAAGTTGAACAGTTTATTTTATCAGCTCAAAAAAATTATATATATTGAGATCACGGTTTGAAGCATATGAGGATTAGGGCCACAAACTAATCCTCTCTAGAAGCAGGTACAAGAGTTTTCCACTACGTTTTTGCAGAGGAACTCTCTGTCAGCGAGGGCGACCCCTCAGAGGGGCCTTCGGTCTAAATGCAGGACTAACTGGGTAACCCACTTGTTAAAAATTACCTTCTGCCTTTTTCGTCTTATTCAGAACGAGTCAGTGCTCCACATCAGAGAAGGAGCAGATATGGAAAACAGCTGCTTTGATTCATAAAATCAGCACTGAGAGAAAAAGTGATAATAATAATACATTTGGAAACTCCTAATAAGGATACACAGTGAAAGTAAAACAAATCTGTGATGAGTTTCAACAAGATGTCAAGTTACACTTTGTAGTGGTTGTTATTTTGCATGAAGCTGTGGACACTCGATGTCAAATAGCACATTACTCAACATGTGAGCTGGTCTCAACAGTCCTCATATCTTTGTGAGAATAGTGTGTCGTTTTAACTGAATGTTGTGTTGTCTGTGAGCCACTGGGAAGCAGATTAAGTCCCATATTCTCTCTCTTTTAGCTCAGTTTGTGGTCTCTTCCACCTCCTGAGGGAAATATCTCTCTCGTTAGCTGCTAAAGGCTCATTTAATTCAATATCTTTTCTGTTTCAGTGAGCTGTTTGCTGTTTTCCAGGTAGTATAAAGTGACTTTTTA